CCACCACGCAGAAAGCAGCTTTTATATTTCTTTTTGTGCTGGTGGCTGTAGGTCAATGGAGCGGCCAGACATGGCTGTACTCATGTCAAGACAGGTCTCCTTAAGTAAAACATGAGTGATCAGCTCTCAGATCCCTGGAGGGTCTGGGGGCACAGGGTTAGTTTTATATCTGTTATTGTCAAAGAAATATGTTGCTTAAAATCACTGGTTTCTAGAGGGGAAGTGTGTTCGTCTCCGTCATGTTTTTGGTTTCAAGTTCTTGGGGTTTTTTGAGGGACTATTATCCATCTTTCTAAAAAAATAAAGTTGTATGCAAATTACTGTTATCTCAAACACTAATGTGGCAAATGTCATATAAATGACTTTCATTTTCTTGACTACCTGTTGGCTAATTATTTTTTTCTAATGATATTTTAAAATATCACTTGGAATATGTTTCTAAAGCCTATTTTAGTGCCATGATTTCACAGATGTAAGCAGCAGGCAGTTCAAGTAAGACATAATTCTTGCTGTTTTGGGATCTAACATATCTGATCGTCAGGTTTTCTCTGGAAATGATAAATGTCTATGGCTTTTGTATTTCTATAGTTTTGAATGAACAGCGACAGAACACAGTACGTTACCTAAATAGTAGTGACTGGTATGTAAGTTACATGATACCATCTTGTAATAGAATGTTCTTTATTTCTACAGCCACAGCCCTTTCAGACAACATAAAACCAAAGATAAGCATGAGATAGACCGAATGACGCTCACCGTGGTAAGGAGATAAAAACTCTATTTGCATTATAATTTTCATGTTTCGTTCCATTACAACGAGTGTAGAAAATTGCTTTCCTAAAATAAAGTGAAGATACAATCCCTAGAAGCATTTCTAAAAGAAAAATGAATGGAAATAGATGCCAAGGTAAAAATCAAGATTTGCTAACCAATAGCAAGAGAAAGATAGAGAAAATCGAGAACAAGACTAAAGGAATCAAATAAAGGGAAAATTACTGAGCCGCAGAAGAGCAAGGAGGCCTGTGATTCTTCTGTCCTGGCCACAGCCTGTTGATTAACTTTGAAAATGATTAGTAACCATTTTGTTTCTTTCAAGTAAATATTCATGATGAATTTGCAATTTTTAAGACTATCCTTATCCAAGAAATGGCCTCTAAATCTGGCAGTGTGTGAGGACACTGTTTCCATGAATGCATTTTTGAAACTGTATTCTTTTTTCCCCCCAGAATGTGGAACTTCCAGACACCTTCTCCCCTGAACTGAAGTCCCTTCTGGAGAGCTTGCTCCAGAGAGACGTTAGTAAGCGGCTCGGCTGTCACGGTGGCGGGTAGGCTGTTGTTTCTGCCTCGTAACTTTACTGGAAAGCAAAACGGTTATTTTCAATATATCAAAAATCATTCCTAGTCTTTAAAAATCTTCCATCTCAATCCAAGAGAGAAAAAAATGACATGGGAAATAGATGTATATTGTCCTATGTGTTCTATAATTAACAAGTTGAAGGAGTCACTAACTTTTTAACTTGAAAAATCAATCTTGTAGATGATGGAAATGAACTCTGGTATTGCGTAGTCCGTTAACTTTTAGTAATGATTATATTTGCAGTTTAATAGTCTGATCTGGTTCTCACATATTTTCTCTCATGCGAAACTAACTGCATCTTATACATGCTTTCTATCCACTGCCCCCTCTGCTAAAACAAAAACAAAAACAAAAACAAAATCCCAGACAGTAATACCTGGAAAGCTTCTAGAAAAGGACTTAAGACAGATCTTCTCCTATTTTAACTCATGTATGTATGTCATATATGTGTGTATGCATGTGTTTTTAGAGTAGCATATGTGTGTGTATTATATCTATATATTATATGTATATTATATAGATAGCTAAAGAATGTGCTTTATGCATATTTCCTTGTTTATTAATTTGAGAAATTACCTATTCCTGCTATAATAGGTGCAGATTTAGCTTACTTATTACTCTCTATATAGCCTTCCCTTTCCACGGCCTCTCAAAAGAATTGAAACACTATTTTTGGTTCCTCCCTTGCTGAACCTTTATAGCTTTAAATTCTGTACTTACTCAGTTGTGCCTTGTTCCTCAACTATACATAGTTTCTCTTGTACTTTATAAAGGAGGGTTTGGCCATTCCTGTCTTGCATTGTCATCTGTCATCTTCTCTCCCACTGCTTAGTTTCTGTCATTGTTAATTTTTATTTTTACCTTGTCAAGTTGATACTGTTTACTCCCTAGTCTGGGATCATAGTCAATCTTTGTGCTTTGCACATAGGCTGATTTCAGAAGTTGCAAATGAAGAAGCAGTGTTTATACTATATGGCGACATAAGTGTATGTAGTTTTTTATGTAGTTTCTACATAGCCTGGTAAAAATCCTAAGTTTTATATATATATGGGATATATATGTGTGTGTGTGTATATTTATATATATGTTTTATATATGAAAAGATAACATTACAGCTGTGGACTCCATTTTCTTTGAATCTGCCGTTTACCTGATCCCATCACTTCTGCTTTTTATGCGCCCCCACCCCCAACCCTTTAGCTGGAGCGTGTTCTCCTATGAGAACATGAGAGAGGGAGTGTGGGGGTAAACCTTCTGTGTTCCTGCATATCCAGAATGTCTTCCTGCAGTCCTCAAACGTGACTGGTGTTTTGGCTGGATATAGAATTCTTTTTTTTTTTTAATAAAGTCTGCATTTATTTATTTATTATTTTTCCTTTTTTCCCCAAAGCCCCAGTAGATAGTTGTATGTCATAACTGCACATTCTTCTAGTTGCTGTACGTGGGACGCGGCCTCAGCATGGCCGGAGAAGCGGTGCGTCGGTGCGCGCCCGGGATCCGAACCCGGGCCGCCCGTAGCAGAGCGCGCACTCAACCGCTAAGCCCCGGGGCCGGCCCTGGATATAGAATTCTAAATGGATACTAATTTCCCCCAGAGCCTTGAAGACGTTGCTTTACTGTGTCCGAGTGAACAGTCAGGGCTGGTCGTAGAGCTCAGGTGTCACTCAGGACGTCAGGCTCTCAGAGCCCCTGTCACCCGGAAGACTCCTGCTCTTTAGCATGGGGAGACCCGACTTCTTTGACATCTCCTCTCCTCCTTCTCCCTGGTTGGCTCTTAGAACTCGCGTTGGGTGGACGTTGGCATTTCTAGAATGGTCATCTACGCTCCTCACCGTCAGCATTACCTGTATCTTTGCTTGGATTCTGTTTTACTTTCTGATAGCTTAATTTTCCACCCCTTGTACTGATCACCCTTAAAAATCTTTAGCAGGCTTAGTTTCTTAAAAGTAGAACCTTTCATAGGTCTCCCCCCCATTAGAATAAACACCTAGCTGCAGGTGCTCAGGGGAAGAAAGTGCAGGGTGTGTGCACGCGTGTGGAGGGTCTGTGCACAGAGTGCGGGCAGTGTTCCGTCTTCAGCCCGTGCCTCCCCCGCCCCCAGCCCCTCGCCCCCGCCTCGCACTGTGATGAGCTGGAGCTCGGCATCTCTGGCCCCAGGGCAGCGGCTCTGCCACTTTTTGCCGTCAGTCACTGTTCCTCTGTCCACTCCCGTCTTGTCTGCTGATGGTCATCTGCCCCTCTCTTCGTGCTGGATTTATGTCTCCTCATTCCTCTTCCATGATTTTAGTGATTTTGGGGAAGGAGCGAAGTCACCTGCCTGTGCTCAGTCACTGACTTGAACCAGAAGTCTTCTCCCTGGGATATTTTTAGTTGCTTGGATATACATACATGCAAGCAAACTTCTCATTAGCCTAGCACATTTAACATGTAGACGGTGAGAGGCACAAAATGGAACAGAATACATCACCGGAGCGTTGGTGGTGTAGTTGCAAAGGGGCACACTTTGACTTGGCTTTCCTTCATTCATTCCATAAATATTTAGTGAGCCCCCGAGCGCCAGACACTCCTAAGGGCTGGGCTGAGGCAGTGCGCAGGTAGACACGGCCCCGCCTTCTTGTGCTTACGTGGGGGTGGGGGGATGACATTATAGAAACAGGCAGAGAAGTGAGATGGCGACGGGAGGGAGTGAGGTGAACAGGGCAGTGCGGTGCCTGAGCCGCCAGCCCTGTGAGGAGGGTGGGGAGGAACACTCCAGGCACAGCGGCCGTGAGGGCAGGGCTCTGGGGTGGAATAAGCTTCCACGATTCCGAAAAGCAAGAAGGAGGGAGAGGTCAAGCCAGGTTGGCGAGCTGGCGGGCTCCGGCAGGTTCCACGTGCCACGGGAGGCCTCTGCCGAGTCTGGAGCAGGGGAGTGGGAAGATCACTGAACGGGAGATTTGGGCGCTGGGCGGAGTGGGTGGGCTGCGCTGCAGGGGCCAGAGTGGAGGCTGGGGGTCAGGCGGCAGTTAGAGCGGTTCAGGTGAGCGGTGACAGTGGCCTGGGTGGTGGGTGGGCGCGTGGACGCAGTGCAGGGCATGTAACATCCCCTCCACGATCAAAGGCACCACCTCCCCTCCTGGGCATCGCCCTGAGGATCTGAGGTGGTAGGAGGGGCTCAGGCCCGGGACTTGCCGAGGGAACAGAAGAGTCGGGGGTGGTCCTGGCTTGTTGGCCCGAGGCAGCAAGGTGTGGGAGGGAAATCAGGAGTTCCGCTGTAGAGCTTCCAAGCTCTTCCAAGTGGAGAGCTCGAGGAAGCGCTTGGATATGTGGGCCTCGCCTGGGATATATATAGATTCAGGGGTCATCTGCAAGTACAGGGCACTTGAAGGCCCAGGCAGGGTGGCATCACCCAGGGAGTGATTGCAGAGGAAGGGGGCGGAGAACCAGCCCTGGGGGTCAGGGGTGGCCGAGAATCACTGTGGGGGTGCTGGGAACGTGCGTGACCCTGACGCGGGCTGTCCTCAAAGTACACGACTTCTTCTGTTCTGCATCAACTGAGATTGAATGGTGGTCTCCAGGAAAACTTGTTTCTTCAATTTACAAAGGGATTTGGCACGCACCATAATATAAGATTTCTACTTTGCTTCTCAGTAAATATTTGGTGCTTCATATTCCTATTATTTAATTTTATCATGACTTGTAGACGTTTGCTGTAAATCTCTTTAACATATAGATCTTTAATTTAACTCTTATTTACCTTGTTCTCACAATTACAGAATCATATATATATCTGTGATATATGTATATCTATTATACATATATAATACATATATATCATATATATATATCTGTGAAAACTCCCAGGTTATCGTAAACTAAAATAAACATCCCAAATAAATTATCATATGAGATAATATTCCTAGCTCCAGCATACAATATTTCTGAATATCACAGTGTTTCCTGCATTGCTTTGAAAGAAGCATAGTTTTACTTGCTTTCTTAAAGAACTGGAAATACTTGTTCCTCTGTGTTCTTAATAAAAGACAATTTTTGCAAAACATTTCGTAGATTTCCAAATTCATCTTAACCACTGTTATGATTCTCTTTCTTCTACAGTGCACAGGAAGTAAAAGAGCACAGCTTTTTCAAGGGCATTGACTGGCAGTATGTCTACTTGCAAAAGGTACTCCCCCGGGATGCCATCCCGGGTACCACAGCCTCTGCAATCTCTCCATCGGTCTCTACTTCCTGGCCCTGCTCCCCCAGGTCCCCACCCCAGCCTCCCTGTCCACAGCGCCCCCGTCCACGGCCTCCCCCGTCCACGGCCCCCCCCCCGTCCACGGCCTCCCCCGTCCACGGCCTCCCCCGTCCACGGCCTCCCCGTCCACGGCCTCCCCCGTCCCCGGCCCCCCACGTCCACGGCCTCCCCGTCCACGGCCTCCCCGTCCACGGCGTTCTTGCTCTTCTATCCACGTGTGGCCATATGGCTAATGCCCTTTGAGATCGCTACTCTCTCTTCATTTCCCTCGTTTAACAATCTGAGAAGACCTGCATAAGTTAATAAACGGTGCCGTGGAGCGGTTATCTAGCTAGTTCAAATGTCCCTACAATTGAGACATCTTTAGCTGCAGCCCTTCTTCTTGACTTCTTATCTCAATGTGGCTGTATTTTTATATAGATCTGTTTGAAAATGTTCAGGAAACATTTGTCATAAACTTACATACACTTTTCAGCCCAGCACCACGTAATTTAAGAATTAGTAAAATTGTATATCAGCATAATTCCTTTTCTTTATTTTAAGATATTTTTATATTCTCAATGATATAGGCAGACACCCCAAATTAGAGTTTTTAAAAAATGTCGATTATCAGCTTTGGACGCGTCTTTGTGTGTAGTCCAGCTGTGGAGGAGTGATGCTCTGTTAGTCCTGCCTGGTTAGAATCAGAGTTCCAGCTCTGGTCAGTTAGCATGGGCCCCAGGACGTTTGTGGGTGCAGAGCGCTCCGTCCGGGGCGCCACTGCACATTAATGCTTTAGCAACTCGAATGTGGTGCCGCATCGTCTGAGAGAACGTGCTCTCTTGACGTTGCATTGGGGGGATGTGCATTCTTGAGACTTCATTATATTTAATAATTACTGAAGACATTGGACATGAATCTTTTTTCTTTTTTTTCCTTAAATTTGTCTAAAATCCGGGTCTCCCATTGGGGCCATTGGGTGCACGATCTCGTCTGTGAGATGTGTGATTGATTTGCATGAGCTTGGATGCTGTGCTGCGCAGTGTGGCATGTCGATATCTGGCACTGTGTTCTCTTTGTAGCGTGGTGGGTGGGGAGGGGGCCGTAAGGGCGTCTGGTAACTGAACCACACTTCTTTGGCTCTTCCAGTACCCTCCACCCTTGATTCCTCCCCGGGGAGAAGTCAACGCTGCCGATGCCTTTGACATCGGCTCATTTGATGAAGAGGACACCAAAGGCATCAAGGTACACACGTGATGTTCGCTTTCAGTGTTTTTGGAGGGTGGGGTGATTTTTAATTGGAAATCAAACTTAGTGATTGTCTTAGTATAGGCCTGTTTGTGGCATGTAACTTACAAACGAATATCTACATACCTGAAGAATGTAGAAGTCAGGGACCTAAATGAGTGAGAAACTATGAAAGCTCTCTTTGGACTAATCATTTTATGTTTGGTAAACTGCAAAATGGTCAACGTTTTATTGATTTGGGTATATTTGCAATTGAAATAAAACTGGAATGTATATGAAGCAAGGAAAACAACTGTGTGATGGCGAATGTAATTCTCCTCGTGCCAAAGAGCCAGTCATCTTAATTCTTCTAAGTATTAAGATCTCTCTGTGTTTAGGATGAAAAGAGCAGACAGCATGAATCATTTTGCATTTGTCAATCAAAGGTGAAATAATCACTGGTTTTTTTTTTAATATAATCCTCTGCATTTTTTGACCTTTTGTTAATATCATTATTTTTCCAAGTAGACAGGACATAATTACAGACGGTGAGTCACGGGAGAGCATCATCCTCATTAGGATGCTAAGTCTAAGTGTATTACTACATGTCAGGCTCTCTGCCCCCACTTCAGAGCTTCCCCCGGGGTCTCCCCACTCCCTCCGAGATGCTCCGCATCTCTTCTCAGCTTCGGGCATTTATGCCCTTCTTGTGTAAGCCCCCCTCCTTTTCCTGTCAAGAAGCTCCCCTCCAGGAGGCTGCAGCACTGTTAACACACACGCCTGCGAGGCGGAGAGAAAAGAGTGACAGGCAGAATGCAAGGGGCTGGCAGGAGCTGTAACTAGAGACGCACAGAACTGGCGTCAGTAGGATGTGGGGACGGAGACGGCGGGTGAGTGGCTGGAGGAAGGGGTGAAGCTGGGAAGGAGAGCGCGCGAGGAGGCCGGCTGCAGCGGGATCTGGGGAAGGGAGTGGCGTGGTTAGAACCTGCGGCGTCAGGAGAGAAGGGGCTGAGGCGTAACAGCGACGGGGGCGTTCACGGGACCGGCTTCCCGGGAGGGCGAGGGAGGGCAAGGGTGAAGTAGAGAGGGCCAAGGCCGCTTCTGTGGGCAGGGGCAGTGGCTCTCCTGAAGGACAGCAGTGTGACCACTACCCAGATGTGTACACCTTCTGTCCTAGGCACCTTCTGTATACCTGGACACGCAGCACGTGTCAGGTGTGTAAGTCCCTCTCTGCAGCAGTGCTCCGGGGACCATCCATTCACAAGGTTATTTCACAGGATCACTCTGTCACAGTAGACTTTGTCATCAGCTGTGCTACTGTCCATCAAAGGGTACTAAAAATATGATGACTATCACGTGGGAGTCCACGAAATTTTTTCATGGTAAAACAGATTCTCATAAAGAGATTCTTTTTAAATTTTGTCAACCATGGTCTAGACTGTGGAGTCACAGGCTGGGCTCAGACCGCACTTATTAACTGAGCGAGTCGGGGCCATTCAGGTCACTTCCTGAGCTTTGGGTGTCTCGCTGTCAAGTGAGCAGTTTCATCGCCAAGATGTCTCTAAGCATAAATGAGATAACGTGGGGAAGCCTCGGGGCATACAGTCGGTGCTTACCCTAGGAGGTTCTGTGATTGTGGCTTGGGTCTTCCTGAGCAAGAGCTGAGAACCAGCACGCTTAGAGCAAGAAGTGGGGGGCAGGGCGGCAGCATGATGAGGAGCCCAAGTCCTGGCCCCGGGGCCGCCTCGTCCTGGGGGATCTGCGTTTTAAGAAACTGTCTATTCTTTAGCGTTAAAAAGGGGGCCCAAATCATACATTGTTCTTAAAAAAGAAGCTCTCCTCAGGTAAATATAAATTTTCTTCTTTGTTTTGTTCATTTTTAACAATATAGGCCGAGTCATAAAGGTAGGGCTTTCTGAAATTGTAGGAGGCAGAGCGGTTTGTGCATAAAGCAGAGTCGACCCTTCCAGAACAACTACTTTGGAAAGGAGTGTGTTTTTACTTTCGCCAAACTCTTCAGGGTGTGTCTCAGTGTCCCTGATCAGGGTGGTCTTCCAGGCTGACGCTCCAGCGCCCCACCACACACACGCACGCACGCACGCACGCACGCGCGTACGCACACACACGCCTGCAGGTGTGCACATTGCCTCTGGTGCTCACACTCCGAACAGCTGAGGATTTGAGCTCTGGGCTTGGTTTGGGCATCTGAAGGAAACAGAAAGGAGAAAGGCTGTAGGAATCAAGGTGGTCTTACCATCAGCACGTTATTATCACGGGTCAGGGAGAGGGGAGGAGGGCGCCCGGGCTGGGACCCGGGCTGTGTGTGCTTCCAGTGTGGATTGATTTGCTAAAGGCCTGCGGGCTGGTGCTTCACCCTCGCTCTTTCTTTTCCTTCTGAATCGCTCGCCTGTTACAATATTGATCCCTTAGCGCAAGGGAGTGAGTAAATCAGGTTTCTAAAGAGATTTGGGCTTTTGAAAGACAAACATGTTATTTTCCATCAGGGGGATTGCTAGCCTTTCCGCCACAAGACTGTAGCTCGGATGCATAAAACCCTTTTCATTTTCACCACGCAGCCTCACTTAAGGGCAACAATGAAGAATTTCAAGTAGTAGTTGAGAAGAGAAATGCTATCATTGAGTGCAATTTTTATTACAGAAACTCTTAAAGGCCAAGTGGCCTACACGCTCCGTGTGTCTTGCACGTCATAAGCACTTATCCATACGATTATACTGGGAAACTTGGGTTCGTTGAGAGGTTCACGGAATGAATGGTAAATTCAGCCTTGTTTATCTTTTGTTTTTCTCACTTTTCAGATTAATTGAGGGTAGTTAAAAAGTCCTCCTGGATCCTCCCTTGTAATTGTATCTAAAACCATAGGAATCTGTTTTCTTACTTGTATAAATAAAATATCGTCGCCATAATTGAAATTTTATTTTGTTGTCAGAGTCCTTTAGAATGTTAAATAAAACCCTATGTGTGTTAGTTTTCATTGGCAAGAATGTAGTGAAGCATAGAAGATTGGGCTGAGTCGGACTGACCCAGGAGCGAAAGTGAAGTGCTCATCAGTTCTAACTATTCGTGGAGCCTGGTTGCTTGACTGTCATTATAGAGATTTGTGACAACTAATACATTGTCTCTAAATGGTTATATGCCGTCATTGCTTATCTGCCTATATACAGTTATGGTACTCGCATATCTGTTGCCTTCGTAAGTATGTTAAATCATAAATATCTCCTTTTCTTTCAATAATAAGCTTCTTGACTGCGACCAAGAGCTCTACAAGAACTTCCCGTTGGTAATCTCTGAGCGCTGGCAGCAGGAGGTAGCGGAAACAGTTTATGAAGCAGTGAATGCAGACACGGATAAACTCGAGGCCAGGAAAAGGGCTAAAAATAAGCAACTCGGCCACGAAGAAGGTAAAAGAACGAGTGTGTCTCAAAATATTTCTAATGCAACATTTTCAGAAGTTCTTGTAAAGCTGAAAAGGTATTTGGGTCATGAAGTACTTTCCAATAGAGGGGAAAACGCCATGACTTGTTTTAGTTTTATCTGGCTGGAAAAGTTCAGTGCACTCTATCAAAGTCTTCAGTCAACATATAAATAAAACTGTGTCAAGATAGTCGGCAGGATTTTGTTGTGTGTCTTCTTGGAAGTTTTTTGCTTAAAGATTGAGTGTCACAGTGTCGGGAACAGCATTGGCTTCGTGGTTGTGTGGCCTGTGCACTCTTGGAGGGCACCCCACTCAGTTTATGCTCTGCCGTCACCACCGTGACGGTCTGAATAACTTTTGAACAAGGGGCCTGCATTTTCATTTTCCACTGGGCCCCACCCAGTCTGTAGTCAGTCCTGGTGAGGAACTCGGCATTTCATGTCGCTTGTCCAGAGATGTAAATATATATAAATACACTTATGTTATAAACAGCATTAAAGAATCGCCAAACCGCACTTTTGTTCACAATATTTGAGTGCCCTGTTAGGATTTCCAAAGTAGAATACATAACATCAAGTATTCAATAAATCAGTCATTCTCGGTTCACCAAATATTGTCACTCTTGATTTTTCTAAGATTTTTATGAATTTTATATGTTTAAATTTATTGTGGTTGATGATGAAAAGATAGCACTTCATTTTACTTCTAAGCAAAGACCTTTCTGAGGTTAACATATAATAAGAATAACCAGAAACAACTTCATTCTATTAGTCAGTTGCTTTGGTGGGGCATCTGGATACAGGCTTCATTGTCTTGTCGGCAGTTTCCCAGTATCATTTGTCGTTACCCCTTACATCAAAGTTGCCCCAGTACACTGAGGGAATATCAGAGCCCTTCAGCTGTGTGCACCTCCGTTCTGCAGGGAAGGGGGCTTTATTTCTAACCTCTTCTTTAGAAAACAGGTCCATTGAGAGCGCTCTGGACTATGTTTGTCGAAGCCGATTTTACACAGGAAATTATATCCGTGGTAGTTTGTTCAAAGGAGAGCCATGATGTCACTAAAATCTTGACAAATTGGACCCAGAAAAAAATATATATCTTAATGACCTTGTTGAAGTGTATCCTTTTAATTAGAGCTACAATTAGAACATCTAGAAAATGAATGAATTTATCTTCATATATAAGTAGTTAATTTGGGCATAACTGGATCTTGGTTGCAGATCTCAGAAGTCGCCCGTACAGAAGCACCTAGTGTGGGCTTAGGTGTCTGAAGTGAAAACCCAAGACTTACACTTTAAATGTACTCTAGAAATGTAGACACTTCTTCCATTAAAATGGGAACTCCATGGACCTCCCCCGTCACCGCTGACCCTCCCTCGTCCCCTTCCTCCTTGGTTCTTCCCCTCCTGCTTGTGCGCGTGTGACTCGACATGGGTATGGCGTATTTGTTTATTGTCTGAATGTCCTCCTTAGACTGTAACCCCCCTGAGGGTGAGGAGTTCTGTCTCTTACTGCTGAATCCAGAATGCCTAGAACATGCCTGGCATCTAGGTGTTCACTTAATAGTTGTTGAACGAATGAGTGAAGGAGTGAATGAATGATTGTAGCATGGTCGCCAAGGCCTTTAATGAAGGCAAAGCAAGCCACTTAAAAATTAACCTTTTTTTTTTTTTTTTTAAGAGCCAGTTCTTCACTCTAAAAATGTAATCAGGGCTCAACATGAGTGCCTTAGCTTGGTCTCTTTACATAACCGTAGATTTGGGGGATAAATATAATCTTAAATCAAGGAATAAACAGTCTTTGGTCCTTGTGTTGCTGTGGCTTACTTGGACAAGAAAATCCCCGCTCTGTTATTTTTTTATAAGATTAAAGGCAGATCCCCAATCCACATGAAGGCAGAGATACTCTGCGCGTAGATTGAATTTATTTAATTACTCTCTCTTCTCCAGTTCTCATTAAACATGATAAAAAAATTAGTTTGGAAACAGACTTTTGCCCTCTCAAAGCAATTTATGAGCATCATGAATTTATCAGATTATTGAGCAACAGCCATTTAATATGTTAGTCGAGAACTGAAGAAACCTGTTCTTTAGTCCTGGTACACATGCATTTAAAAACTGAAGTAATGGTTTCTGAAATGTGTTATATTTATGGAAACTTGATTTTTCCCAAAAGTATGGAATTCTTTTTCTCTGAGAATAGTAGAGACATTCTGTTTCAGAGCCCGTTTGACTTAGAGTTATTGTCTGTTCCTCAGATTACGCCCTGGGAAGAGACTGCATCATGCACGGGTACCTGCTGAAGCTGGGAAACCCGTTCCTGACTCAGTGGCAGCGGCGATATTTTTACCTCTTCCCCAACAGACTGGAATGGAGAGGCGAGGGCGAGTCCCGGGTAAGCGTAAAGCGGCATTACCACGCACTTATTTTCGTTCTGTTGACTGTCGTATGGTGATTTCAGATTGCTGGCATGTTTTATAAAGTATCCTCCTAAGCTCTGTATATCTATTTTGACCTGTATACATCAGATTTTAACGTTCAAATTTTAATTTTTAAACTTCTGAGTCAAGGGAGGGTTTTGTAATATCTGAAAATAGACCGTGCCCTTCACCAAGGTCAGAAGCAGCCAGGTTTGAAGAAGGCTGGAGAGCGGTTGCGTAGATCCAGAAAGAAAAAAAACCCTGGGACATTGGAGTCAGACAGAGACGTTTAAATCCACTGCTCGCTGTCTCTGGGACTCTGAGCACATGACAGGGACTAAGCCTCAGTTTCCTCATCTGTAAAATAGAAGAAATAGAAATTATAACAACTACTACAATTTTTGCATATTTATCTTTGACCAGGTGTTGTTCAAAAAAACAAACAAACTCATTTAATTTGTTTAGCAACCATTGAGGGTCCAGCTTGTGTTTTATGAAGAGGGAGCCAGCGCTTAGAGACGGACAGTTGCGCGTGGCGGGTGATCCGCCCGGGGTCTGCCTGTGCTCTCGGCGTCCCCATCATGTGGCTCCCCCATGAGCCGTGCTGCTCGGCACAGTGGCGAGGTCGCCCAGCCATACCTCCTTCTGTCTCCACCTTGTTGGAAAATTCTAGGTGGATTTCATACAGTTAGATGGGAGGATGCAGCTGCCCTCTCAGGTCCTTTCAGGGGCTAATGTTTGTGAACAAGATAATAAGAAATTTCTGATCCACATGGTCTCTCTTAGCAAGTCAGGCAGCATTTATTATGCGCCTGCTGTGTGAGGAGCCCAGGGTTGTCACCATGGCAGGTGCCCACCCAGGTGGAAGGCATGTGTCTGCTCTTGGGGCGGGAAGGTTAGTCATGGTGAGTGGGACAGCGGGCCTGATTATTAGCAACATGGTAGATGTTTGGATCTGTGGGGTATTGCCGTCAGCTCGCCAGCGGGCGGTGTGGACAGCCGTAAGCCTGAATCTTGTCTATTTGACTTGGGAATGCGTTTTCTAAATCCCTTTTGGTGAAGATGCCATTTAATTAGGAGCGATTGCTGTTGCCTGTTACCGCATTCTTTACCAGTAAACAAGATCTCTTATTACTAGTGCGTCTATAGAAGTCCTTTTCTAAAAACTAATACATCTAGGATCTGAGCTATGATTAGTAAGATTCTTTGGGGGTCCTGAATTATACCTCAGGTGCTGGAAGGTATTATATAATATATAAAATATATAATATTATATAAAATAAATATTTAATTTTCTTTATATATATTTATGTATTATATTATTTTGTTTATATTTTTATATTTATATTATTATTTTATAATATACTTTATATTATATAATATTTACCAGCATCTGAGTTATAATTCATATATATCTTATTTTATAATATATAATATTTCCAGATGATGAGTGGCCCTGGGCATATTATGCATTTATTATGCTCTCTGCTGGTAGGTCACTGTTGTGCACGTTGAAAGGAAATTGTCTCACTTTTCAGGATATTTGAAAGCTAAAAAAAAGTCTTCCTCTGTTTAACATCAGATGCAATAAATTATCTTTGTTTTAAGAGTCGACGTTTAGTGTTCCGTTCAAGAAGCTACATAATATGCATGGCTGGATTCATAAGTATAAATAAAGAAAAAGAAAAGGTGAGAGTTTATGATGGTGTTGTTTTTCATTTAGGATTCCTGGAGTATTTATCCAAAAAAACATAAAATGGTAAGGTACCCATGACGCTATAGCATTCACCTTAGGCAATAATGCTATAGACCCGGTGTGACAGTCTTTTAAGGATGTCACCTGTATTTAGAACGTCATTTTGATGTTGTCAGAATATCGTTGGCTTGCAAGCTAGCGTTACCAAACATTACAGCTGCTGGGGTAGAAGCCAAGCCCACACCTTTGCTCATGGAAGCCCCATGTCACGCTTCATCGTGCCCTCCCAAGCGTACTGATGGATTTCGGATGAGTGTGTGATGTGGAAGGTACCCGTGTGGTTCATAATCGTCCAAAAACCACTCTGTGTTGAGAGAACAGCTTTCCTGTTTTGCCTTGGAGAGACATTCCTTTCTTTGCAGTTTTCTTTGAAATACTATAATTTGAACTTTTCTATGTGTTCTTTTGCGGCCATTTCTTCCCACTTCCAGAATATCAAAGAAAGAAAAATGCCAATATTGTTTTTTTTTTTTAACTTTTTCTAAGCTGATAGCTTTGAGTATTATTTATTCATTTAACTGAAGAAATCATGAAATAACGTGAAGTAATGAATCATTTTTTTGTTTTTATGGTTAGCAAAATTTACTCACGATGGAACAGATTCTGTCTGTGGAAGAAACTCAGATTAAAGACAAAAAGTGCATTTTGTTGCGGATAAAAGGAGGGAAGCAATTTGTCTTGCAATGTGAGGTGAGTTTTCGTGTATTTTTTTCTTAGGCAAAGGTTAGAACAGTTATATAAATATTCAGCAAAGATGGCTGCCGATGATTTTCTTCCTCTATGCTTTATCACTTAGAAACTTTGCAAGAAAGCCCCAAGGCACAAGTTCTCAGCAAATTAACAGTTATTTTTAAAGAAGCAAATATTAGACAATATGAGGAGGAAGTACGTGAAATGATTTGATTACTCTATCTGGAAACTTGGTCCATTATGTAATAGGGGGCTAGAATTTTGTTACGTAATTTTCCCAGAGCTTATCTTTCAGCATGTTAGAGGCTGAGGTTTGTATATTTAAATAAACATAAGATACCGAAGTGACTCCTCTTGGAGAAATGCCATCTTTCTCTCCCCAAAGTTCTATTGTAGCCCAGATGTAATTCCTGAGCACTTTTCTTCTGGTGTGTGTGTTTTTAAAGAGCATATTGAGAGAGAAACCAGTAGTAGATACAAAAACATGTATTTCATAACTTCATTACTACATGGCACATACGGAGGTGCTTTTTAATTTCTCAGAACTACTCATGGCTTATTTTAGACTTGAGTTGTTTTAGAAATCAGAAGTCAGAGGCAGTGTCTAAAGAAACTAAAGGTGGTGGTTCTCCTGGTGGGCTTGTATGAGGATCGTCTGAAGGGCTTACCATGGCCCTTGTCTTCTCTCTGCGGAGACCCTGGAGGGGTCTCTGCATGACCCACCGGTTGATGGCCCCGCGGTGGGGCAGAAAAATAGTATGTGCTTTCACAGGGGGTTCCAAGGACGCTGGTAGTTACCAGAGGCATCCACGTCCGTTGGCTGGATGGGAGGCTGTTGTGACTTGTCCCTCTGTGTCTCTGTGTAGAGCGACCCGGAGTTTGTGCAGTGGAAGAAGGAGCTGACAGAGACGTTCACGGAGGCCCAGCAGTTATTGCGGCGCGCCCCCAAGTTCCTCAACAAACCTCGAGTGGGCGTGGTCGAGCTATCCAAGCCCCCCCTCTGCCACAGGAACAGCAACGGCCTCTGACCCCCAGGACGGGCAGGCTTCTGAGGACGACATGCCTCAAGGAAGGCCGCAGCAGCTGTTTCCAGCCCTAGAAATGGAGCCTTTGGAGAAGCCTGAGGATGAGAGGTTGGGTTCACTTATCTCCGGGTTCTTCTGTGGTTGGGAAGACCCTGGACGCCGAGATGCTTGGAACAGGGGTCGTGACCATGCTCGGGCTCAGGGTCGGCCTCCCTCCCCTCCTGAGTGCCTCCCGGCCACCGCGTCTGCCCACACTCGAAACTACTGAGGACATGAGAGTTTCTTTTCTTCGCTACACGCCTATTTTGGTATATACGAACCTAGAACTTGAAATGATTCCTACTTGGCACTTCAATTTGTATGGCTGATGTCAAACATGTCTTAGACTTGCCAAGATGGAAGTTGCCTGTCTGCAGTGTTGGGTGATGGACTGCCCTAGTGTTGTCATATTTGATCTGGAAAAACTGCTGCTGACTTTCTGTGTCTCTGCTCCATACGCCTGGGGGATGGGAGATCAGCCACGTGTTCTTCTGTGCACTTCCAAACCGACTTCTTGTTGTCCTGGGGTTGAAAGCGGAAGATGGTTTCTGGAAAGGTTGCACTAGGGCCCCCCGGCCCGCCCCTGACAGGGAGCTGCCAGGCCCTGGGGACAGAGGGCGCATACCCTCGGAGGGCACGTTCGTAATGGAAGGCGTTCAGCAGTGGATCCTTGGAGAGGTTTACCGTGATTCTGAAGGAGAGGTGGTGGAATTCCAACTTTCAGGGAAAAAGCGATTTTCAAGAATGTTCTAGTAAACCACAGCACTTTCTCCTGTCTGCGTGTGCACAGACACTTGGGGGTGAGTCTGTCTCGGGTTTCAACAGTAAGCACTTGTGTGACACAGTGATTCTGGTCCCTTCTGCCTGCCCTCAGGAAACAGATGAGTAATAGATGTGTAAAGGAAGGAAAGAATTGCTCTGTTTTCCATTTTAGTATAATTTAAAATGAATTTTATTGAAAAAAAGAATGCTGGAGAATGAATGTATCAAAAAGGGTTAACTGTATATTGACTCTGTGTTGTCATTCGTCTGTCGTTAGGGGGTAACACGGCACTGGGGGGTGATTCTGTGACAGGGCTGCGTTAGATCCTAGAGGCCATTTGCCTCATCCTGGTGGCATCCTCTCCCATGGTTGGTTTTTTCCCGTTGCTTTCCATGCCCTTCTCATGTCCCAGGAAAATGCTGGGTTGAAAGAACCAGCATGTTTCCCGGCAAAGTCCTCCGTGTCATCAGACTAAAAATACAGTAATTTTATAAGTCCACATATCTATCCTATTCTTAGTGCAATTTTATTGTATGTGTCTAAGTGAACTACTAACAATATACTAACTTGACATCATAATTACTTGCATCCAGTTCTCGATATTTTTAGTGGTCCCAAATCTTTGTTTTTATATTCATGTGCTATGTTCATTGGAAAAGTAAGAACTTTTTAATGAAATTATATTTTGAGAGTTTGGAAGATAATTACTGAAGAGTCTTTTATTTCATAGGTGTTACTTCAGAAAAGGAATTTTGAGGGTCACCATCCATCTCAGCTACTAGTTGGAGTTGAAATTAACATATGTGTTCTGTTATCTGCTCTTTCGGTATGGGGGAGGGGTGTACTATTTACACGCACTCCCCTGATTTAAAAGGGAAGACTAGGATTCAAATTCTGTTTAAACCAAAAAGCAGAAAACCACCAGAGGCAGCAAAGCAGATGTCCTTCATGAAGAGCACGCGTCCTCCCAGGCATGGCTGGTGACAGCTGTGACTACGTGGTTACCGGCTCCGTTGCCAGCTCCCTCATGCTTAGCACTCAGGTTTAGGAGTCGCTGTGTCCCACGCCTCTGTGGGACAGAGTGACGGCCTCGTGGGGAAGGCACAGGGGCTCCTTCAGGATCTGGGCTTAGCTTCGCACGTGTCACACCCAGGGCGTTAGCTACACCAATTTGCATCTCTTTAAAGAATATAATGTTTGCCCTGGAGTAGAACATAATCTTTCTTTTAGAAAAGACATATGAATTGGAACATATCCTGAGAGTCCTTCAGCCTCAAACTTATTCCCAGTAAACTTGTACACTCCCCCACTCACGTTCGATCTATAAGGACTTGGCCGAGAAGTACATTTCATAGGTGCGGTTTATTACAGGTGCTCCGTGAGGTGGGGATGAGCGGCTTATGAGGGCGTCTCGGGTGTGTGGGGTCTGGTTGGCAGTCCTGGAGGGGCCGGGCTTCCACCGGAACTGGTGCCTGCAGCCCTTCTGATGGGGTCAGTGTTTCTGCTACCAGATGGAAGACGCTCCCAGGACCCTTCTGGGCCTGCACCTGACGCCCGCGTGGTCGCAGTAGTTGGTTGGTTTAGAAGTCTTGGTCTGTGTGGCTGTTCTAGGTTTTCAGTCTGACCTTTCCTGTGTTTGACCATTAAAAAAGGTAAAATTCAGCACAAGTCTTCTCATTATTTTAGATTTATATGAGTAGGATATTTTAACATTGTCAAAGAATATAAGTGAAGTTGATATTATTTTTATAAAATTATGTCATAAGTCTTGATTTCATAATTCATAGGAATCAATAAACAAAGCCTAAAAATAATAGATTACTTTAAGCTGCTATGTAACATATATGGAATAAATTAAAAACTTTCATGAAGCCAAGGTTATTTTTTTAACCTAAAACGTTCTCTTTGGTGCATTTATCCCCTCGTGTTATTGGGGCTCATGGTTTTTCTTTCTGTATCATGTTTAAGTATGATTTTTCAGCAAGACTTCTAGAAATTAGCATCATTTCACTGCTAATGCAAATGTCTCGCCTCTCTGCCTCTAATTGGTGAATTTTCTGACATTACAGTCTCAAATTCTGTATCTATAAAGAAGCGACCAAATGTTGAGTCATCTTGAGGAAAGGAAGCTTTCTGCTCAAGATAGAAAACAACAAAACTGGAAAAAAAATAAAGACAGCAACAACAACAAACAACGATCTATTTTAAGCAAGATTCAGCTTGATTTGCAGTGTGAAATATGCCATACGGATGTTAGAAGCAATTATTTTAAGGCCCTCAGCGGCCATTAAAAGATATTGCTTACCAATTGACAAAGCGATTTATCTAGATTAAAAAGATCAAAGTGTGGTTTTTTTTCCTGATGATTTTTTCCATTTCCTTCAGAATTTATAGTTAAGCCAGTTCAATACAAGGTTTGACTCGACAGTGGAATTGATTTTTCCAATGTTTCAAAATGTTAGCATACCAAGAAGAAAACGAAATTCTCAAAGTTGGACTTTTTTCCGCAAGATGTAAAGCCATAAAAAATACTTTGAAATGTGCTGATGTAAGATAAGCCTTGTCTTGTATGATTGAATCATGTGTAGTTTTTTCTTGTATATGTTCAGGGAAGTGTTTCTGTGTCGTTCAGAGATGCTGGATGAATTTACTTCTCCCCACCCCAGGGGACTGACACGTTGTTTGTGCCTGGAGAGGAGTTGGGCTTCATTGGGTCTGTGACAGGTGATGGCTGGGAGGGGGGAAGACTAGTGGTAGAAATGGGGCAAAGGAAGAAAGGAGTTAATTTGCTGATAAAAATCAGTCCCTTTACACCATAAACTACCCAGGAAATGACTGAGTTAAACTTGATGTTTTTGGTTTTTTCCCCTTATAACAGAGGAGTTGAATAGTAATTATTGTCAGGCTTGATCACATTATTTTTCAATATGGAGCTACTGGACTTGTTAGAGGCTATTTGCTTTCCATCAGGACTTTCTGTAGAAATTAGGCGGCTGCAGCATGTCAGCCAGCACCCCCCCCCTCACCCCGGGGAAGGCGCGTGGGACCCGGAGCTAGCACCCAGTCTTTGCCTGTGCACCTTGCAGCCCCTGGAGGGCCGAGGTGGGGTCGGGGTGGCTGTGGGTACATTGCCCTGTTGGTCAGTTCGGGCCCTGTTGCACATCCATTGAAGTTGCAATAAAACCTCTAGTAAATAACAGGACCCACACCCATTTCTAGAGGGAGCTTTAATCGTTTAAATTTTCAAAATTTTTTTTCCTAAAGATCTAACATGATTTCCCTCCCGGATAAGGTGGACTCGAGAGGCTTGAATTAATTACTTAGATTCATGTTAATTTGAATATTTTTATCCAGGCAACATTTTAAAAAATTTTACTGTAGAATTAATGAAAGTTGAACTCTAAAATGATACTCCTCGATTTCCTCAAGTCAATGGACTTTAGATGTCCTGTGTCCTCAGAGATGAGAGCTGTTCTAATAGTAGAGTAACAGGGGTAGTAACTCTGGCAGCCTCTGAGGGCCTGGGAGGGCATGAATGGCCCGCCCCCTCGCCGACTCTGGGGCCGTGCTCCTGATGCGGCGGGGCTAGCGTTGATCAATAAATGCAGCACCCCAAATTTTCTTTTTTGGTGAGGAAGATTGGCCCTGAGCTAACATCTGTTGCCAATCTTCCTCTTTTTGCTTGAGGAAGACTGTCGCTGAGCTAACATCCATTCTAGTCTTCCTCTACTTTGTATGTGGGATGCCACCACAGTGTGGCTTGATGAGCGGTGTGTAGGTCCGTGCCTGGGATCCGAACCCATGACCCCCGGGCCGCCAAAGTGAAACACGTGAACTTAACCATTACGCCACCGGGCCGGCCCCAACACCCCAAATTTTAAATTGCCTTTCCTTAAAAAAAACGCACACTACAGAAAATGGGTTAACAGTATATGCATTTTCATCAGAAACAGGGAGAAACCTGGATTTTAGAGTTAAATAACTCATATAGTAGAGTCAACTCTCCTGTCCCTAACAATCTCAAAATCTTCTCTGAAAACTGGTAACTGTGCTTGCATTGCTCACTTTATCCTCACATAAAATGTCTGTGCTGTGAGGGTAGGGAATGGAGAAATATTTCTAATCGTGTATTCCTATTACAAAGGACTTGAAATTTGTTTCTCAGCTGATTATGTTCCATGATGTATATACTATATGTGGTTTATAAGCTAAACACTGGCCATTTTTTAGTTCTATTGTTAAATTGTATTTTTCTATGTTTTAACTA